GGCGCCGCCGGCAGGCGCATCAAAGCTCCGAACGCCGCCGGCAGAAAACACGGCTTTCGCAACATCGCGGCCACCGACAACTCTGCAGGCCGCCGCCGCGCGTCCGTCCGTCTGTTTCCCGAGTCTGTGTGATATGACAGGCGGCAGCCGCCGCTCCAGAAAAAGGCAGCAGCGACCGCCCCCCGCGCCCGTCCACAGACCGGGACAAAGAGGACAGTGAGCCGCGCGACGCCCCGAAACAAAGAAGGGTTATCCTCCGCGGGAATAATGGCCTTCGGGCTCCGACCCCGGCCTGATCGCTCGACGTCATCGTCGCTGACGTCGACGCCAACGACGGGGGCTGCCGAAACTCATCGACGATCTAACCCGGGCGTTGCCTGGCAGCTGCGTATACACAGAGGGGTGGCCGCGGAGTAAACAGGAGGCCCGCTGGCGCACTGTTTCACAGCGGCCGCTACCCGTCGCGCCGCGCGAGACCCGCACAATCGATGAAACATGGCCGCCGCTGCCGACACCGCTGCATCGACCAAATAAATCCCACTCTCGATTTACGATCGCGCCCTATTTCTGCCGGTGGTTGTCAAAAACGGCGACCATGCAGCCAAAACATAGTGCAAACAGGGCGTCGAGTTGGGCCCACAGTCACGGTCGGGGTCCGACGAGACCCGGTCGGGTCACGTGACCTGACGGAGGGGGGGGGGCGGTGTCGAGGAGACTAGAGAGTCTGGTGGGCAAGCTCAGCTAGAGATGTGGTGAGTTATGCACCTGCAATGAGCAATTATGAGCTCCCCCGAGAGACCGCGTCTCATCTCACTGCCCCCGTCAGCTGCAGGGGAAGGAGCGGACGGTTAGTGCAAACGACATACCGTGACTGTACACGAACGGAGAGAGAAGAGCTGGAGACGGAGGGGAGCGAGGCATAACCAGGGATGAAGGATGAGTCGCCAACAAGGGCTATCTCTAGTCCAAACAGGCGCGCTCAAGGACAGCACACCGGCGCCTGAGGACTGACAGCCACCTGACAGCCGCGCTCTAAGCGTTTGAGTCAACATTGAACACGACTGCTCACACGGTGACGCCATGAAGCAGTTACGAAACGACGAAACAGAGCAGGTGACTGGCACCCACATCCTACCCCATCCTAACCGGCAAATCAAGGACGAAGGTCGGCCAACAGCGCGGGGGGAGACAGGCTGAGATTACTGAGGGGAGTCGGGAGATGAGGGGTGCACGGTCAACACGTCCAGACAGCGCCGGCGGCCACAGACTCGAGGTCAACATCATCGGCGCGCCGTCCTCGGCCCGCGCGGCCGCTTTCAGCCGGCCGTTTGCTCAGCCGCTGAGCAAACTCGGATCGACGCTGATGCGAGTGGAAATCGAAATAATCAGCCGCGATCCACGGCCGGTCCAGCGAATGGCTGATCAGGGAACCGTACCCAAAACACCATCCCGGGTCGGGTTGTATGATGACCCACCATCAGGTCTCTGGGTCCTCGATATAGTGTGTTTTTCATCAGCCCAGTTCCGAGTACCCTCTCCGGAACGCGTGTCGTCCCATCATCGGCGGATCACGCACACCGCAACAGAGGACGTGCGCGCGGGCGCAACACCCGTGGCGATGATTGGATTGGGGCGGGCCTCGATTATTGGATTGGGTCGGACGCGCTCCACGCCAGTGATTGATGCTCTGCGGGGCACGCCATTAGTATTCATTAGTCCCCCCAATTTGACACCCACTGGGGGCACGCGAGGGGCGCGCGGACACGGCATTACGTCATCAGTCGGCCAGGTGACGGGACAGTCCGTGTTCCACCGCCCGCACCTCCGTGCCGCCTTTATCCACCGCTCATCGGGCTGTCCTCTGTCTGCGAGATCCGCGCGCAGCTATGAATGATTAACACAGCAGAGAAAGGGTTAATCCCGGCCGGGAAATGGCGCACCCCTCCCCCGGGGCGGGAACAGCTGCTGGAGATGGGGACAGCTCTCTCTCCCCACGGGTCACTTAGGTGGACGGCTGGCGGTCTGGGGTCGCTGACACACTGGCCGACGCGGCTGCGGTCTGCCCGGGACATTTCAGCCCGCTCGGCTCATTAGCCCGCCCTTCAGCCGGGCGTCTTTTGGCACTGGCGAAATGCCGGGCGCTTTTTATGCGACCCCACTCTGTCAGTGTACGGGCACGTGCACAAAGCGCACGTGCCGCCCTCGTCAGGGGGCTGTCGGCGACCGCCTCCTCCCTTCGGACGCTGATGAGCTAGAAGAAGGGACAGCCGCGGAAAGGGCTCGCGAGAGTCAGAGAACCACACGGCCTGCGCTGGCGGCTCCGCGCGTCTTCCAACATTCTCCTAATGAAGACACCGACCGTCGGCACATGGCATCAGCCACAAAAACCTCCTCTGGGAGCACCGGCGGGCGCGGGGAAAACAGGCCGATCCGAGGCAATCCGCGCCCGTCAGACGGCGGGGATAGGGTCGGCGTCCGTCACCGGTATCTGGACCAGACGTCTCTCGAGGGCCGCTCAAGGATTCCTCCGAGAGCGCAGAGGACACGCCCGGGGGAAACTCGAGGGAAAAAAGCTGGGATCGTTTTGGGACCGCCCCGCAACAGCTCCGGATCGTGGACCCGCCCAGATCTCCACTCGAGATGGCTGTAATCGGGCCGGGGACCGACGAAAAACGTCTCGGAATCACTCGAGGTCGTTGAGGGATTATTCGAAAATTGCCAGGAGTGTGACGCTGGCCGGATAAGCATCCACTGACAGCCCACGTAGCGGCGATGACGGCGGCGGCGAGAGCGGCGCAGCGAGGCGATAAAGTGACGCGGCGGAGGCGCTGACGCAAACGGGCCCGATACGGCGCGCCGCCGGCTCCTCCATCTGCGTAAAGAACACGGCGAGACGCCGATAGCGGGCCAGCAGACTATTTAGGGCCTCCAAACCCACTCGAATGATGGAGCACCGGCAGAAATCAGCGGAACTCGCGGCCCGGGGGACTGTCTGGACCCTCCGGTGGTGGGAGACGGGGCGCGGCGGCAGCCGCTCATCGTTCACAGCGATATATGGAACACGTGAGCGTCGCGGACTTTACGCTCACCCGCGGCATCCACATCCCCCACGGCTGCCGGTACCTATCTCCAGCGGCCTCCATTGCCGACGTACCGACAATTGGAGCCGGGCAAAGCCGGCGATAATTGCGGCCGTGCTGCGTTATCGCGCGGGGCTGTCTCGCGGTGACATGCGGCAGACGACTCCCCCTGGTTGCGGGCGGCCCTCCGCTCCCCGTGCTCTATTAACCAACAGAAGGCGTCATAGATAACGGCCGAGACTGCTGTATAATGACGCTGCAGACGCGCCAGGCGCCGCGGTAATTCGACGGCCGCGCCGCGCCTGGCGCCGAATAACAAAGGCGGCGCAGGGCGCACACCATACGCGCGCGCCCGCACCAGGCGCACGGCGACGAGTGATAGACTGTTAGTGCCCGAGCGAACCCATCGGCCGAAAAGAGGCCATTGATCGCTGTCAAAGGCACACACGTCGTGCCAGAGATCCACGCAGAGGATTGGGACTCGGGAGCCACGTTTCTAACCTATTCTCGTTCAGACACGTAGGTATCTATCCTGTCTCCCGGCTCATAGCTCTGCTATAAATATAACCCATTTCCATCCACCCATCTTAAAACCTATCGCCTCATCTCATTTCACACACTCCAAGACGTCCTCACGATCTACTTGGGAAGTCCGCAGTGCCCGGGGCTGAATTTCAGCCTCCACCAGCGGCCTTTCCCGACAGGAAAAGCCCGCTATGGCGCTTGTCGCCGTGCCGGCTGATCCCTCGGCGGACATGTTTAATGGATGGCTCGACGACGGAAGAATGTGCGCGAAATGATCCTGTGCGTATCCGGGGTCTGCGTAGGATGGTCGGTGCCTCCTGGGATACTGCACTAAGGGCTAAGGCTGTGCTCTTCTGTGGCGATTCTGAATGTCTGCCGTCATCCTAGCGCTCTGCATCGCAGCTTTGGAGCGTCAGCGAGCCTCAGGTGCATGCCAGGTATAACTAGATGCTTGTCGCAGGAAGTTCCAACTGAGAGATGGAGATTAGAGGGGAGAGAAGGAGAGAAGAATGAGAGAGATGGGTAGAGGAGGGATAAGGAGGGACAGAGGAGAGAGAGAGAGAGAGAGAGAGAGAGAGAGAGAGAGAGAGAGCCGAGTGTACATGCACCCTCCTCTGATCTTCATTACCATGCGCCGTCAGTTGTTGGAATGGCTGGAGAGGGGAGGGGAGGCGTCTGCGAGAGGGGCTGCCGACCGGGCCGCTGACCCAGCGCGCCCCGGGGCTATTTCTGCCCGGGTCGGCCGCCACTGTTTACTGGCGCCAGAGGGGAGCGGGGGAGGATCGTCCCGCCGACGGGAAGGCCTCCCACTCCCGCGGGGGAGTCGCTTCATCACGAGCCGCCGTCGGGTGACGGGTTTACACGGGGCAGCCATCAGCCGGCCGACGGCAATCGGAGCCAGTGTCCGCGAGTTGAGAACACCTCTGCTCCTGTGCTGCTCTGGAATGGGCTCCGCTAAAGACTCCGGGCGCAAAGACCCCGCTGGGAGGGCACCTGCGAGCGTGTTTCCGGATATACAATCCCGGCAAATAGGCCAAATGGCTCCGCAGACGAGCAAAAATGACGCCATTACCTCGACCATATGCACCATTAATATCCCGGTCTCCAACTGGTCTGAGCCGACGCGGAAACCCTGAGTCGATATGTCACCGTCATATGCCAGCTGTTTTTGCGGATGAGGACATTAAATGGTCGCAATATCTGCCCAGACAGGAATGCCAATGGTGATCGCCGGATGCAAAAAGTCGGCCGCCGCATCCATGTGACCTTCTTATGATGATGTATCAAGCTATGCTATCGACCCTCTTGCTATGATAGACGTTTTGATGCGGGAAGGGTATAGGAAGTTGCCGAAGGTGTGGGTGGTCGCGGTCTGCGCAGCGGTCGCGATCTCACCTGTGTGTGTCCGCTGGTGGGCCTTGAGGTGGGACGACTTGGTGTAGACCTTCTTGCAGCCGGAGAAGAGGCACTTGTGTATCCGCCGCTTGCCATCTGGCGAGGAGTCGGCGCGCGCCGGCCGGCCGTGGCCCGCCTTGAGCGACAGGCCCGGCAGGCACGAGATGAGGCCGCCGGCGCGCGACGTGAAGCGCACCTGGAGCGTGCCGCGGCCGGCCAGCCGCGCCGCCGGCGGCCACTCGGGACTGGAGGGCGGCGTGAGCGAGTGGGCCAGCAGCCGGCCGGCGGCGTCCTCCATCTCCGAGTCGCTCTCCGACTCGGGCTCCTCGGTCTTGACGCTGGCCGTCTCCCAGTTGGCCGACGAGCCGGAGCTGACGCTGAGCGAGTCGAGCGAGTCGCGCGACGAGAACAGGTACTCGCCGTCGTCCGGCTCCGGCTCCGACTTCCACCGCGCCGCCGCCGAGTCCAGCTCGGACGGCAGCTTCTTGTACGACTTGAGCTTCGGCTCGTCCTTCAGGTACTTCTCCATCTCGTAACATGTCTGCAAAAAGGGGAGAAACATCCAGTCAACGTCTGTCGCCCAAACACAATAACGATCAGAGCCTCAGACTAATCTAGTCACGTAATATGATTGCCGAGTTTTCCTGAGGCGACGACGAACTACTGCTCAGCAAACCGACGGCACAAGACCATAATGCAATCGAAGAACTCTCCCAATGCGATAACCGAAGTCTGGGGGAATCGCCGCCTTCCAGAGAAGCAGTCAGCTGAAACTAATGGGACACGACAAGTAACAGCATATTCAACAAACATGCCATTTGAAGAACACCCGAGCCCCTCGCCACGCAGAAATTCGAGCGAGCACTCAGCATTACCGGATTGACTTTCACATGAATAAATCCGTCGGCGACGAGAACAAAGAGCTAATGCTGACAGAAACTAGTGGCGGATGTGTCCCGAGTTTGTGATTTTTGACGTCGGAAAGTTGACAGCCCGTCTGCCGGTCTGCCCCGGAGATCCTGCATCGACAGAGCTCCACAGCCTTTGTGGAAGCTGTTGACGGCCGGGACGGCGATCAAAGTTCTTCATGGAAAAGTTGCCGGTCGGACACAGCGGCGCGTGAACGTGCCGGCCCGCTGAAGCTGCGCCGGTAATGGACGCGGACGTGCTTCACTGCAGACCAGACAAAGGCACGGTCGGAGAACTGGAGGGATTTCGGGGGAGGCTAGAGGGCAGTCGGCGAGATTCGTAGATTCTCAGACGGGCGAGACGCCCGCTGAAGTTACGGCGCGCGTGGATAGTTCTTTTGGCCTTCCAGTCTGAGTCGTGGTGAGTCTGCCGACCGGCGTCAGGTCGTCGGACCGGGCCGGCGCCATCGGCCGCCGCTCGACATTAGCACCGGCCCCGTGCGCCGTCCACGCGCCACCTGACCCGACCCCGTGGCGCCGGACCTTCGACCGGCAGCGGTCGGCTCACGGACGGAGCCCCGGTACGGGACACGGCTCACGGACGGAGCCCCAGCACGGCTCACGACTAGACACGGGCCCGACCCCGGCCAACGCTACTTTCCGAGGCGGCGCGCCGAACTTTCCGGCAAATTACAGACGCGGCGCAGCCGTGACAAAAAACGGCGCACCGGCGGCGGAAGCGGTGTTTATTGTGTCTGGCGAGCCGACACCGGAACCGGGCTACGCGACAAGCTCGCCGCCGTACCAGCTACCCGACCAGCCAGCGATAAATATTGAACAGGTGCGTGAACCATTCACCACCTGTATGAAATGGTGCCGGTAAAGTACTATTAAAGTGTCAGGGCTACATGAAAGGCGTGTACATTTTCAATTACCTACCAGCAGCCATTTGTCGATTTGAATGGCGGAGTGATTCACCGAGTCGTTATTTCAGAGAACTCAGACGTGCAAATAACTGGCGAAAGGTTTGCATGTCATGAGGACATTGAACAAATGGCTTAAGTGGCACCAGCGAAATGACCACAGTTCATGAACCCTTTAAAAACTCCTGCTACGGTCCTCCTTAGTCCTTACATCAAGAGAATGAATGGCCCCAAAATAATAATGTAGTAAAGAAACAGCCAAAAATATATCCACCAGTGTGTCAACTTGCGAAGGTGACAAAGTTCCGTCATCGACACGGCATTAGACCCGCGGCGGCAGTGGCACGAAGGTGGCGCTTCCGTGCGACGTAAAAAGCTCGTGATCTCGCCCCGGGGGCGCGCTCACGCGACCGGCGCGGCGGTGCGTGCGTGTGTCGATATCCGGTGGTGGTCCACGCGCCCGGCCGGCCGGCCGGCGCCACTCGGCTAATAAGAGCCCGGCGGCCCCGGCCGAGTGTCATCAGTGTCACTACTCGACACGAGGCACCGGCCGGCCACCTGTGAATCAGACTGGGCACGCAGGGCGCTAATTAGATGGACCGATAGTATAATAAGCGCGATAAGTCCCCATTTGTCCACTTTCGCAACGGGTAATGCATCAAAATCCGGGCGCCGTCCTCATGCAAGCAGTGTCCATACACAAAGCCAAACGAACCCACCCTTGCAGCGTTGCTTGTTTTCGGAATAAGCTCGGCATGACTCGGTCAATACGTAATCTACAGCTCGAGGTAACGTAATCCATATTTAGCTCGCAGAAAACGCGGCGTATTGAGCGCGGTGCGACCAGTTCGGGAGATTCTCCGTACGTGCGCATTGAGCGGCCGTCGACTGCCGCCCAGGTGCCGGTGAGCCTTTCAGCGGACTGGCGCCAGGTTCCGATCTATATCAGCGCCGTAAACGTCGTGCCGGGCCGGCCGGGCGCCACTTCACTCCCAGCTCCAATAACTCGCGGCCATTCCGGCGCGACAAGTGGGCGGAAATACGGCGAAATACGGCGCACATGACAAACGACTGCACGGCGACACTGCGCCCGCCGGTAAGGGCCGATCGGCCGCCGGCGTCGACGACCCGACGACCCTCGCCGGCAGAGAGGTGAACCCGTGCGACCAGCCTAACGGCCCACTGTCTGCCCCCCGGCAGTCTGGCGGGGAGGGACCGGTGGGGAACCGGTGCTTGCAACCGCATCGCAACCCCTCAAATCTAGGCCGACAGAAAATCAATAGTCTGGCGGAGAATCTGGGGAGGATGACAAACACGGCCGCGAGGCGGAAGTGAGACCCAGACACGCATGCGCTCCCCACATGTGATTTGAAGCGATGTTGGCGATGCATATCCAACATCCGAGGGGCGAAGGGGACTTAGCTAAGGGGCAGCCATTTCCAGGAAAGTTCGATGGGGTCCGTGCCCGTTGGGACCAGGACGACAATCCAACCCTTCAGTGGCGATCAGGAATTCATCCGGCACCGCGCGGCCGGCGGCCGAGTCCATTTTTCGGCCATCGCTCTCGGGCCGATTGATGACGGTCGGCGGGCCGATTGATGACGGTCGGCGGGCCGATCGTCGCCGGAACGGACGGCCGATGACCGATCTGCCGCCGGTGGTCGAGTGATTGGAGAGGTACCGCCGACAGCCGAGCGAGGTGGGGGTGGTTCCCCAGCTCCAGCGAAGAGCTCCTTCACAGGAAGAGGGCGCGCGGTGCAAACTTGAAGTTGCAACTGGCTGGTGTAATTGAATTACAGCGCAGTGGACGATCTAATGCAGATTGAATCAGAAGCTGATTGATTGACTTGTTCAGGCCTGACGGCATTTTTGAATCGCTGAGTGCACCGACTGCGAAATTGTTTTGTGAAAAGGGCTCAGAGTGTGCTGCAAAGACATTATTCCGAGGGTGGCTGAATGCCTTGAGTTATTTTGCGAGTTACAACCGATCAGTCAGGATAACATCTGCAAATAAATTTACGGATAGAGATCTACAGCAACGTTCAATAACCGGTAGTGGAAAACACCGCGTGATGCTTTATGTTCCGCCGATGCAGCCGTGGATTCGACTCGAGAACATCTATGTGACTTTACAAAATGTTCACCGGCGATCTGTCTCCCTTCCTAAGACTTTCGGCGCCCTTTTTCATGCTTCCATCCGGATCATCCCAGCATGGTCACTGAAGCGGCCCTCAGTAGTCAGTACCACTGTCCAGTTTGTCACCCCATTTCCCATCCACCTTCTCTCCAAAAATCCTGCAGCCCAGACTGATGTGGGCGCCGTCCCACAAACTCTGCCCCCCCCCCCGTCCCTGGAGTGGCAGGCGTGGGAACAGGTGCGCCGTCCGTCCCAGGACCGGCCCCCGCCCGGCCCACCGCACCATGCTGAGAGGGTTCGCTGTCCCAGGTGCGTGCCGCGTGGGCTCTCAGCGCCTCGCCCGACCTGGGAGCCGCTGTGTGGGTCGGCCGTGCAGTACAGCGTGTCGTGGGGCGTGAGGGTTGGGGCGAGGTGAACACGTGGAGACTGGGGTTACGGGAGCGTAAAACGCGAAACTGGAAATAAGTTTCAACGAAGCTTTCGGTGCGCTCATCTCCAACCTCATATTGTAAATTCAATAAGGCATACACTGCCTTTGAACTTAGTGTTTTGAACTAAAAGAACGGGTGATTTACAAACAGATTCACTATCGAAAGCAGCTGATATTGTCCCGGGTATTCCCTGGGGCATCAACGCGTTATCAATATCGAGTGCGCCAACGCCGTTCGCCACTCTGCCGGCTCGTACGCGCCGTGTCAGCTCCGACCGTGCCCAGGCGAGTGTTCGGGCCGGGCAGGTCCGGAGGACCACCCACGGCTGGGTGGCCCGGTCCGCTCGTGCCGGCCCGGCCCTCCCAGACGGCGCGTGCGGCCACTCTGAATGGAGCGCGGTCAACGGGCGGAACAGACTCCCATTGTGCCGGCGGCGTCAGGCCCGCTGCAAACAGCTCCATAAACGAGCTCCGTTGAGGGCCACGTCCGATACGACGGCCTCCGAGTCGCTCACAGCGGCTGGAGGCAGCTCCCGCTACGAGCTGATGACGTGCGGTGACGGGACGACGGCAATTCATTTCGACCGAGTTGGTTTGGAAAAGAGATTGACCGGCTCGCCAGCGATCTCTTCCATCGGCGTTTGTCAGCAAAAGTGGTGATCATTTGTGTTTGATGAGCGACGACCATAATCGTCGGTGATTCACAAGTTCGGAGCTGCGCAACTTAGCCGTCGGCAATTGGGTGATGACGTCACAATGTCGTCACGATGGCGTCGTGATGACTGGTCGCTCGAAGGTCGTTTTGGGCGACCACCGAAAGCAGTGGGGAGGGAGTGGGTTTTGCTGCGCTGTGTGGACGGTGAGGTCACCCTCGCTGCTGCAGGCTCGCAGCGCGCCCGCAGCACGGTCACGGTCGCTACTGCGACTGCGCGGCGGCTGGGACTGGATTCACTCCGTGAAGGTCGCATTGGCTCCGAGCCAACAGCAGTACACACCAGCGGCCGGCACCAGTCACGGCGAGACGCTCCGGCGCCGGGTGCGCGCAGCCGGGCACCTCTCGTGGCAGGTGGAGTCCATCACCCACCGCCGGCGCAGGCAGACCACCCCGGCGCGGCGCGTGCCGATCGGAGAGAGACCGTCACC